ATACGTCTGCTTTTTTTATGATGAAACATACCCCAAAGTAGAGAAAATTATAATAGTCTGTTACACACTTACCTACCCATTCTGTTCTTATGTATTTTTATGGGAATCCTAGACGTCTTGTCTTTGAACCCTAACTTCACAGTTTATCTCTAATAACTAAGAGTTTCTTTTCTTTTTCATGTAATCACAATGCCACCATCACACTAACAAAAGTAACAGAGTTTCTTAATATCATTTAATATCTAGTCCATAATAAAATTTTTCCAATGATCTCGAAACTTTTTTTCTAACAGTTGGTTTGTTCAAAGCAGGATACTAAGTAGCCCCACATATTGCATTTAGTGAGACATCTCTAAATTCTTTTAACCTAGAGCAGAACTTCATTCCTTTTGTCCCTCCCCTCCACTATCCAACATTCTGCCTTAAACTACAGATTGTAGCTCATCTTCCTTCCTTCCCTCTTTCTCATTCTTCCTTCTATCTTCCTCCAATAAATATTTATTAAAATCCAAGCCCTGTACTGGGCATTGAGGAGACTCTTCGTGGTTTCTGTCTTCCTGGAGTGTATATCTGTGTCTTCATTTCTCCAACGCCCTTTAACTCTGTTACATGAGTAACCATCCTGAAGGATACAAAGGCACCTCTCTTTCTCCTGCTCAGAAAATTCAAGCATTTCCCATTTTCTGCAGAACAACTGTAGAGACATGACATAGATGGGAACTGGACTCCCAGCTCCACCTGGTCATGGGGCTGAACCAGGCAAAAGATACTTGGACTTCATCTTTGGGCACCACATTTTGGATGAACCGGATAGCACAGGCACTTCTGTAGCAGCCTAATTTACACCTTGAAATTAGCAAGAGCACTAAGTAAGAATACGAGGCCATGACGTAGTTCCTGTTATTACCACCACTCTCTGTGCCACATTAGAATTGAGGAATTGCTGTGGGCCCCAGTTCTTGCTACTTGCTCATGTGAAGACTGAATAAAATGATACATCTAAGCTCCTTCGTATGGTGTCCGGCACAAAGAAAGCACTCAATAAAGCATAGCTTTTTAACTGTTATTAATAAAAACATAAAAATAAAATAAAATAAATCAAACACACCTGTGCAAACTTTCATGAATTCTCCTAAGTTATTCAGTTTCACAGAATATTGCTGGGCAATCTATGGCTAATGCAACCCAGGAACTGAATTTTTAATTTAATTTCAACTTCCATTTTTTTTTTTAAAGATTTTATTTATTTGACAGAGAGAGTGAGAAAGCACAAGCAGGGGGAAGCAGTAGAAGGAGAGGGAGAAGCAGGCTTCCCACTGAGCAAGGAGCCCGATACGGGGCTCAATCCCAGGACCCTGGGATCAGACGCTTAACCGACTGAGCCACCCAGGCGCCCCTAATTTCAACTTCCATTTTAAGAGCCACCCATGGCTACTGGCTACCATGTGGGGAAATGCAACAGTCAGCAACTCCGACCAGGTCCTATTTGCCTTTTCACACGCTATTGAAAGTGGGAAGCCAATTTGTCTAAACAGTTTTGCCTACCCAACATCTCTCCTTTAAGTATCAAAACCTCTCTTTTCCATTTGGGTAAACCCTGTCTTTGATATTATCTCCTGGGATGGGTACGTCACTCTGGCTTGGCTTGTGGTGGGAGTGGGGGACAATAACTAGGCCAGATTGGTCAGAGTCAGTCTTGAGACTCTTGTAGGAACTATCTAGGAAGAGATGCTCTGTCTAAGGTTGCTCTTATGTGAAGAGAACCTGCCTGGAAATTAAACCATCAGAGAAGAAGATGGAAGCAGGGGATGGACAGTTTCTTGATAACATTATTTGAGTACCTAGATCCAGCTTTTCCTGAAGTCATTACTATCACTACACTTTACAGTTACATGAACCAGTAAATTCCTTTAACTAATGCCATTGTGAATTAGGTATATATCACTTGCCACTAAAAACATCCTGACTAAGAGACACTCTGCCATCTACCTAGAATCCCTTTGTATTTCTTATCTACCAACTGAGAATTTACTTTAAAACCCAGCACAAATATCACCTTCTCTGTGAAGCCTCCCTAAAGCATGAAGGCAGAAATAACTGCTTCCTTTGTGGTGCTTCCATATCTCCCATTATATGTTTATCTCTGCAGTGAACAAAGTATATTAAGGCTGAGGTTATAATTCACCCCTATTCATCTCTCTTTCATCTTTGTAATGTCAGTACGCACCACATCCTAGCACACAGTACTCATTCAACACGTTTGGTTAAATTGAAGATGAATCTCTTCTACTTTAAGTTATTATAGCCTCATATTTTATGTAGTTTGTTGCTGCCTTTATCCATTAAGATAAGTATGTTTATTATGTTGAGCCATATGAAATTGCTGATATTTGACATTTTGGGCTCCAAAAGCGGCAATTTCATACAGTTCAACATAACAAATACTGACAATTATTATAGATATCTTAAAGGCATTTACCATATCCACAGTCAGTGGTCAGAAAGCTACAAGCCTAAATACTAAGATAATAAAGGAGCAGAACAAATGACCAGTACTAAGGAGTGTCATGCATATGTGAAATGTTCATTTATTTAGCAGACACTTAGACTGCACTTACCTTATTCCAGGCACTATTGTAAGTGCTTCACAGGGATCAATTCATTCCATCCTCATAACGAGCCCATGAGGGGGGCACTATTATGATCCGCATTTGACAGATGGCAAAACTGAGGCAGAGAGGTTCAGTATTTTGCCTAAGGTCACATAATGATAAAGTGACAGAGCCAGGAGTCTAACCCATGGAGTCTGACTCCAGACAGGGTCCTTGTTCTAAAGCACACATTATGCTAACTCTTAACCACAACGCTACATGGTGCTGGCAGAACTATTAGAGAAGTTGTCTATCCAACACAGTCAATTGGAAGTTGCTTATTGATGTGAGTGCAAGGAACCCACGCCAGCTCTCTATTTACTGCTGCATAATACACCTCCCCAAACTTAGTGGCCTAAAACCACAACCATTTATCATGCTCTCGAGCTCCATGGGGCAAGGAATTAAGACCGGCACAAGGGGATGGCTTGTCTCTGCTCCATAATGCCTGGGACCTCAGAGGGAAAGACGAAATGGCTAGGGGCTGGATGACTTGAAAGCTGAGCTCAGTTGAGTCTGTGGACCCAGTACCCACATGTAGATCCTCCAAACAGCTTGAGCTTTTCACAACATGGCAGCGGGATTCAGAGAGGGCGAATCCAGAGAGCAAACATTCCAAGAGGAAGAGAATGAAGTTGCAAGGCTTCTTTTGACCTAACCTCTGAATTGGTGCTGCGTCACCTTCTATACCTAGGAGCAAGGCACCGAGACCAGCCCAGATTCAAGGAGGGAGAATTAGGCTCCACCTCTGTGTGGGAGAGGAGCAAGGTAACACAACAGGTGAGAAAGATAGGGTCACAGCACTTTTGGAATCACAACTGGCACAGAGTCACAGAGACTGTTGTCAGAGCAGTAGGTACTGGAATATTTTCAGCTGGAAATTACTGAACCAGCGGCTTGAACACTAGGAGGGGTATTATCTCATGAAATGAAAGGGCCAGAGGCAGGGCAAGTCCAGAATTATTTAGTTGTTCAGTGATGTTCATCAAGGCCCCCAGTGCTTACTATCTTTCCACCCTGCTACCTTTAGCACATCCAAAACGTCTCAGTCCTTGGTTGTAGGTCGGCTGCAGCAATTCCAAGCATCAGGAGACAACAATGTCAAACAAAGAAAAAAGAAGGATATTTATTCCCACAAAGCTCTTTATTTTTTTTTTTTTAAGATTTTATTCATTTATTTGAGAGAGAGCATGAGAGAGAGAGCACAAGCAGGGAGAGCAGCAGAGGGAGAAGCAGACCCCCTGCTGAGCAAGGAGCCCAATGTGGGACTCAATCCCAGTACCCTGAGATCACGACCTGAGCCGAAGGCAGCCATTTAACCTACTGAGCCATGCAGGTGCCCCCCACAAAGCTCTTTAAGTGACAAAGAATAACCTCCTCCCCAAACCTCACAGCCAACTTAGCTTCAGGTCACATTGGTCAGGCACCTGACCTTGCCTATGTTCACACCATATCTGAAAAGGAAGCAGGGAAAGAAAGGATCTAGCATTGTGGCTTCATAGTAAGAAGCGCTTCTGCTAATAAGAAAAAGGAGGAAGGAGAATCACCGTTGAGTCACCAGTATCTGCCACAAATACAGGTAACTATCCTTTCACTTAGCAATTATTAGCTGATCGCTAATCATGCATCAGGCACAGCACTAAGAGGCAGGCAGAGCAGTGAATAAGACAGACAACATCCCTGCCCTCATAAAGCTTACAGTCTGGCATGGAACAGAACATGTAACAGGCAATTACATAATTAAATACAAACGTGATAAATGCTATGAAAAGAAGTATGCAATCAATGCACAATTTGCTATAATAAAAAATATTTCTTCCCAGAGGTTTATTGAAATGAAAGACAAGAATACAGTTATAAAATCTAAAAGTAGCACAAGGTCCTTAGTAAGCCTAAAAAGGTAATCATTGAAAACTATGAATGCTCCCATTGTGTAGGAGAGTGAAGCACCATATATGGCAGATAGACATGTCCTCATCAGTAGAAGAGTTACTCCACCAAGGGTCAGAGACAGTTCATTGGGATTTACAGCAATTGCAATGAACTCTCTGAGACTATCTGACCTTCTATCCAACTGCATGCTCACCAAACAGACTTCGTCACTTACCTGGACACCAGACTGGAATTTTCCAGTCTCTGCAAATCTATATCTGTCACAATAAAATGTTATTTTGGTCGATTTAACATGAGTGTGAACAGTCTTAGGCCTGATCCCTTTTCAGTGACCTGAAAACTGAGCAGACAGATCTTCAAAGCCAAAAACACAGACTGGGAACCCCCAGTGAGCCCCACTCTGTGCATTCGCAGGATGGGAAGCTGGCCTTGCCCATGACAGCACTAAAAACCCACCTTATACATTCCTTTGATAACAGCTATGGCATCAGCCAACTGCTGATTGTAGCATTTTCTTATGATGTCCTCATTCTGCAAACCAAAAATAAGTACAATGAACACCATACTGAATTTCCAAATATGACTCTCTCACCCTACTAAAGGACTCAGTATAAAACCATCATTCAGATCATCACAAATCTTGTGAAAACTCCAATTTGTAATCATTTCTCCAACACTATAGCTATTACACTGCATTCAATTTTTTAAAAAGATTTATTTATTTATTTTTGAGAGAGAGAGAGCACGCACATGAAAGACTACATGCATGTGAGCAGGGGGAGGGGCAGAGGAGAGGGAGACAGAGCGTCTCAAGAAAACTGCAGGCTGAGCACAGAGCCCAACACAGGACTCGATCTCACGACCCTGAGATCGTGACCTGAGCCGAAATCAAGTCAGCCACCCAACTGACTGAGCCACCCAGGTACTCCACACTGCATTCAATTTTTACTTAACTATAAGCAATAGAGAGCTCAAATGGATAAAATAAATATAGATAATTTGAACATTTTATTTCACTTTACATATTTAAGTCTTTTTACTGTCTTCCTAGAACTGCTCTTAAAAATAGTAAAACCTATTTGTAATTCATATCCTCTCCTGGTCCTTGTACCTTTTGAATGGGATATGCTCATAAAAAGAAATCTAGAGCCACTAATCCATAAAACAGAGTCATTTTCTGATTAATCAAATCAGTTGACCATTGTTTTGGATAACAATGGAGTGCAAACAACAATTAGGCTTTAGAGTCAGACAGAACTGGATTTCAGTATTATTGTGCCACTTTCAATCTGTCTGACCTGAAGCAGGTTACTTAACCTTGGCATCTCAGTTTCCTTATCTGTAGATCAGGAATAATCGGGTTTCATTTAAGCATTGTTGAGGGACTTATGGAGGAAACACATTTAAAAGGCTTATAGTGGTTCTCAGAATGGTGGAGTCAATAGAAGATGAGGGGTTTGTGTGTGTGTGTGTGTGTGTGTATTATAACTGAGGAAAAGCAGTCCCTATTCTTAATGACAGATAAATATGCTAACCTGACCAAAGAATTTAGGAAATTCCTTGAAGCAGCTGAGTTTTCAAGCCTTTGGCCCTTACAGAAATAATAAGTACAAATAATATCCTATAAAATTGTGCTTAAGAGCCAGATCTCAAGCATCAAACTGTCTGGCCAGGAAAATAAACTCTGCTGTTTAACTGGTGGCCTTGAGCAAGTTAATTAAACTTCCTGGGCTTCAATTTCCTCATCTGTAAAAGAGAGATAATAATTGCACCTACTTCATGAAGTTAGTGTGAGGATTAGATTAATTTGCATACAGAGTACTTACAAAGTTCCTGATACAAAGGAAAGCTATTATATGGATTAGCTATTACATGAGACACAACATATGCAAATTAAATTGCCCCCCACACTAGTTGCTAAATTCAAAACTGTAGTACATACCTATCTAAGCACAAGATCAATCCACATATAAAACAAAGGAAATGAGAGAACTTGTACCTCTTGATAATGTTTTTCGATTGTTAGGATCCTGTCATGTAGAGCAGTGAAGAGATTGAAAGACTCTTCTTTAAGACTGTCCTCAAATTTCAACTGAAGAAATTGTTTGAGGAACCCAAAATCCACTTGAAGAGATCTAATAATCTGAAAAATGGAAAAACATACATTATTGAAGAGAGTAAGGGCACTCTGTGTAAAGATTCTAGTACATTGCCTGGTTCTGGGTGTAGAAAAGCAAATTTTGATACGTCTCTTTGGCATACTGATTATTTTAGGCTGATTATTTTTAAGAAACTGCAAACGCAGGAGAAGCTCCAAAACTGAGTAGAAGTTACCCTTTTATAAGAGACATTTACATTTAGAAGGGAAAGCTCCACTTGTAAGGGTGCCTTCCCTAGCTATACCAGCAAGAAGGGGATGAGTTAAAATCTCTAGAAACTCTTATGCAGATTTAAACCTGCATAACCATCATATCCTTGTTTATTGTGCTTTTCCTCATAACCTCGCTTAACTGCTCCCCTCCTCCCCCAACATCATCTTTTGTCTTTAGTTGAAGGTGGTATTTAAGGCCATTTCAGAGAGTTACTCAGTTTTCCTGGGTCTCTCACTTGTATTCAGGAGGTGTACATGTTACTGAATTGTTTTTCTCCTGCTAATCTGTCTCCTGTCAATTTGATTCTTAGACCAACTAGAAGAATGTTGAAAGGTAAAGAAAAAATTTTTCCTCCCCAACATGGGCATATGACCTGGAATGTAATTAGGGGCCTGTCCTGCTTTTTAAGAATACCTCTGGAATATGGTATACATTGGAGAACTCCAGTTAATTTGCTAAATTAATATATGCTAATGGAGTAAGGGAGAGAAGGTTCTTGGTCATTTCTTCCCATCCAGGATAAAATACCTGGGTTAACAACAACCCTTTATCATACCTCCAAAAGGTATAGTTCAAGATGCGGATGTTAAATCAGAAAAGATAGGCAAAAATCAACATTTGTTGTGAATTTACTAGCCAAGCAAACCAGCATGTTGACTAAGAATCATTTCTGATCATCAAAACATATAATGTGTTTTTGTCTCCCATCATCTATTTAAAATGTATTCACTAGGCAATCTTCCTCTGCCCTGAATGGAAACTCTAATCAATTCCAGGGCCTTTCTGCTCATTCTTGGGAATAGAAAATCCTACTGTCACTCAAAACACAGCCTCAAAGTGGCATTTAGAATATTATTACCATGAGTTAAACACATTCAAAGTAAGACTGGGAGATCATTGCTACTCCTTCCTCAGCCCCTATGAATATAGAGCTTTTTTTTCTTCTTCCGACTGTTGGGGGTCCTCTGTTGTTTTAGATCATTCTACTGGATAGGGCCCAGAATGACTCCATGATGATGCACTTTCTCTCTCTCTTTCTCTTTCATAGGCCACATATGGTCCATAGGAAACAATCACACATTCCTCACCCCAACAACTTTGGAAGTATAGAATGATCCCAACTTAGCGACTCCATCTTCCTAGTTTCCTTAAACATGGATCAGCACCAGTCCTCTGTGTTTTCCAAAAGCAGCAAACGTACTTCAGGTTCCATACAAGCCTGCTTTACTAGCTTTGAGTTGAGGAAGATCGTTTCTGGTACCTCTTCCCCTATAAAGAGCATGGTAATAGCGCTTTCTCAATCAGTAATTTTTCCTCTGCACCTCCTGACTCTTTTTTTATTATCCTTGATCTATTTCAAAAGCTAAGAGTCATTGATCTGATATGCAACATTCCTTTTGCAAATCCTGCAAATGGGATCTAACTCAAATTCACTTTGGAATTTTATACCTGGTGTACTAGCATCCTGGAAAGAATCTCATTTTAGTATCCTGAAACTATAGATAAGATTTTATTTTGCAGATGAGGATAATAAGACTTCAAGTGGTTAATGACTATCTAATGCAACATTGCATGACCAGTAATGGAAGGCCCAGATTTGAACAGTTATGACTGACTCATAGCCCTATTTCTTTATATCATGTTGTCAACTCACAAAGGGTACTATGTTGACAAGTCATTTTTAAAAAATATTTGAAAGCAAGTGAAGTCTTAAGGAATTCCTTAAATTCCAGGAACAGGCAGAGATGACTTTGCCTTTAGAAGACCCAGTCCTGTATGGACTGCATGTTCTGAGGAAGGAAGGCACAGAAATCCTGTATGGTCAAACAAACTCCACTGGATCTAAGACTCCCACAGATCACTATAAACTCTAGATAAAATAGGAACAAAACACAATCATTATTCTGGAGAATAAACAGAAGCAGGAGAATCCAGGAGGGGATTCAAAAATTGGAGGAAGGAACTGATGCAAGGAGAGATGCCTGCTGCGGTGGCTGTGTTCGGTGACCTCACAAGGCAGCCAAAACTCAAATAGAAATCATTGGCCTTTATGGTCTGAATAATAAAGGGACAGAGCAACCACAGATGCTGGATGTGATTGTGTGGGCTTCCTAAAAAGAAAAAAACCAAAGAGAAGGAGTGCAAAATCTGTATATAAACTCAGAACAAACCTCTGGGTGATCCCCAAAACACACATACATAGAACAGACTGTAAGCAGCCCAAGGAGATTTGGGCTGTCAACGAAGAGACATTTGCAGTTTGAATCCAAACAAGTTTATTATGTGCTAAAACAAAGATATCAACAGTCTTCAGGAGAATATGTACATAAATATCAGAAGCCAGAACATAACACTCACAATACCCAAGATATAATTCAAAATACCTGATTAAAAAAGAAAAAAAAAAAAACAGGAAAATGTGATTCAGTCCCAAGAAAAAACATCATTGAGACCAAGACCAGTATTACCCAAATGTTGGAATTATTAGGCAATGATTTTTAAAGCAGCTATTATAACTATGCAGGAGGAAGTAAGGAAAATATATGCTTATAACAAATGGGGAAAAAATAGGCAATAAAGAAAACAAACAGAAATTCACGAGTTGAAAACTAAAATGTCTGAAATTAAAAATTCACTGGAAGAGTTTAATAGAAGAATAAGGATGATGGGAGAAAAGTATGTGAACTTGAAGATAAATCAGTAGAACAAAAGAAAGAAAATTTTTATTTTATTTATTTATTTATTTATTTTAAAAAAATTTTATTTATCTATTTGACAGAGAGAGAGACAGCGAGAGAGGGAACACAAGCAGGGGGAGTGGGAAAGGGAGAAGCAGGCCCCCCACAGAGCAGGGAGCCCAATGCGGGGCTTGATCCCAGGACCTGGGGATCACGACCTGAGCTTAAGGCAGACGCCCAACGACTGAGCCACCCAGGCGCCCCGAAAATAATTTTTAAAAATTTAATAAGTGAACAGAAATTGGGGACATGTAAGTCCATAATCAGAGGTATAACATGCAAGTAACTGGAGTTGCAGAAGGAGAGGATACAAAGAGTAGGGTAGAAAAAAAATATTTGAAGATATAATGGCCAAAAAGCTCCCAAATGTGGTGAAAAACAAAGATTCAAGATGCTGAACAAACCTCATGCAGGATAAATACATATGAACCACACCTAGGTACATAATAATTCAACTGCTGAAAACCAAAGATAAAAAGAAAATCTTTTTTTTTTTTTTCTTAAGTAAGCTCTATACCTAACGTGGGGCTTGAACTCATGACCTCGAGATCAAGAGTGGCATGCTCTACTGACTGAGGCAGCCAGGCACCTCCAAAAGAAAATCTTGAAAGCAGACAGAAAAGAAAACAAGTACATACAGAGGAATAACTTTTGGGATGATTAAAGTTTTCTTATTAGAAACCAAGGAAGTCAGAAGAGCTATGCTACAGTGAAAAGAAAAAAAAAATACTTATCAATCTAGAATTCTATAATCAATGCAACATTTTAAATAAAGAAAACTATGAGAATTTATTGCCTTGACTGAGAATTGCTAAAGAAATTTCTTCAGGGTAAAAAGAAATATTACAGGCTGGAAACTTAGATTTTCAGGAAAGAATGAAGAGCATTGGAAATAGTACATATCCAAATAAATATAATGGATTGGTTTTTCCTCTTATTTGTGTAAGATATATAAGAATGTTTAAAGCAAACATCATAAGCTGAGTGTATAATGTATGTAGATGTAACACATATGATAACCCTGGCACAAAGGACAGGGGAGGGTGGTAAATGGATCTATACAATTGCAAGGGTATTACATGTTATGTGAGGTTGTACAATACTACCACTAAGTAGACCATGCTCTTTGCTGAAAGAAGAATCAAGGGATCTTTAGGAAGAATGAAAATTAAACTCGAAAATAAGTAAGAGATATAGGAAGTAATGGTGAGAAAGAAATTAGTGAATGTGAGCAAATCAAAACAAATATTAACTGTATAAAATAATGATATGAATAGGTAACTACAAAAATATTAGAAAAAGAGGTAGAACTGACATACTTGAGAATAATAATATGTAAGATAGGGGGTGATTATAGATAAAGGTAGTAGGTTTCTTGCATTATTTGACAGAAATTAGAAATTCTGGCCACGTGCAGACACTGTAAAACCAAGTGCACATGTTCAAACTGGAGGCAACCATTAAAAGAATAAAGATATCATGATTAACTTAATTCCCAGTAGAGGAGAGAATAGGAACTAAAGAAAGTTTATCAATCCAATGAAAAGTAGGGAGGTAGGAAAAAAGAAGTATAAAAGAAGAAGAAGCTAAAGAGAAATTACAAAATAAGTTGGCAGAAAAATAACAACATATTAGTATTCACAACTAATATTAAGAGAATAAACTAGTTGTTGAAAAAGATTATAAGATTGGATGTTTTCTAAACCTACTATCTATAATCTGTAAAAGTTATACCTAAAATACAACACAGAAATGAGGTCAGTGTAAGAACGAGAAAGATTTACCAGGCAAACACTATACCAAAGAATGTTGATATAAGGATATTAGCATTGAACAGAATGGCAAAATATATATATTCACATACATATATATACACACATACACATATACATATATATATGCATATACACTCTCAACTAGTAACAAATGAAAATTATTTTTAATTTCTTATATCCAGGGCACAATGACAAAGACTGACCTCACACGAAGCCTTGGTACAAGTTGCAAACACCAAATAATTTGTCTCACAAAGAATTTTCACTGATAACAGAGGACTGAATTTAAAAACCAACAACATAACAATAACTAAAAAGCATACTTGGAAAATGTTAGAGCATTTCAATCTAATACTAATAAATATTAAAAGCATTAACTAATAAAAATAATTAGTATTACAAATACTAATAAAAATGCTACATTTCAAAATTTGTGGGGTGAAGGTAAAGAAGTAATTTGTGGGAAATATAAGCCTGTAAATGCTTATAAAAGAAAAGAGGGGGCCACAAAAATAATGATCTATAGGCATTGTAGCTGACAACCACTATCCATTACACTGGTTCTTCCTTACTGAGAGGACTAGGACTTTGTCCAGACAGAAATATGTCCAACTAAAATGCTCACTACTCTAGAACTCCTCCCAGTTAAGGTGGTCAAGTTAAGGCCAATGATAAATAAGCTGGGGTTTTCTATAGAAAGTTCCTGCTTTCCTATCATGGCCACCACCACCAGCCCTCCCTACTTCTCTCATAGTCTCCGTCCTGTATGAAATGCAGATGGAGGCTGGAAGTGTAGCAGCCATCTTGCTACTGTGAGGTCAGAAATATGAAAGCAAAAGCCATGCACTAATAACAGAGATTGAAAAAGATAAAACAAGTCTGGTATATAGATGACAACAGAGAGCTACTGCCTCAACTACAGATGTCTAATTCTAAGTGACTTCTTATTTGATTAAGCCAATATAGTTGCATTTTCTAAAAATAGAGCTTTATGACATCCTGATACTGAGAGCCAACTCAAGGAATCAGAAAAAGAAAACAAAGTGAACACAAAATAGTAGAATAAATTAAAAAATAAAGATAAGAAATTTATGAACTAGAAATAAAGATATGATAGAGAGGATTAACAAATGTAAAAGTTGGGTCTCTGAAAAAAAATAATGAAATAGATAAAACTGCCAACATTCACCTAGAAAAAAAAGAAGAGGTATGCACACAATATTAGCTTTTTATTTTTTAATATTGAAATTTAAAAAAATAGGTAACTACAGACACAATAAAGATTTAAAAATAAGACAGTCAACAATATGCCAATAATTTGAAAACTTGACAAAATAAATACTTTTATAGAAAAACATAATGTCAAAACTGACCCAAGAGGATTTAAGAGAACCTTAATATATCCATAACAAGATAAAAATAGCAATAAAAATAAGCACATACAGTTTTGCAAGCAAGTTCTAACAAACACTGAAGAGATAGATAATTCCAACCTCATGCCAACTATTCCAGAGAAGAGACTAAGGAACATCTTCCAACTTATTCTATGAAATACTATGACCTTGGTACTGAGATTGAACAACAATAGTAGAAGAAGAAAAGAAAATTATAGGACAGTCTCTTATGAATATGAATGGAAAACAATCATTAGTAGAATTATACAAATGATGCAGAAAACAGAAGGAAATATTATAGTCCTGTTGGGTTCATTCCAGGCTTACTGTTCAAAAGTCAATTTTCACATCATCACATAAAGAAAAAAACCATATGACTCAATAGATCCATGAAAAGCATTCAAATCCCATCATTCATTATATTTTTTAGATGCCTTTCATCAATTAAAAATAGAGGAAACACCCTTAATCTGATATAAGCATAAGAATTTGGTTCAGCTGGATTTTAAAAATCCAAATAACAAAAGCACAAAAGAGAAATAAGTTTATTTCTCTTTCACTAGAAATTGAGTGGCAATCAGGGGTGCAAATGACCTAAGATCCTTCTATCTTATCACTATACTGTATACTGCCTCAAAATCAGGGCACAAATGGTAGCATCCGTGTTCTAGGCACAGAAATAAGGAAAGGAAGGGAGGGAAGGAGGGAGTGAGGAAAGGAGGAAGGGAGGAAGGGAGAAGAGGAGGAGGAAGTGAAGTAGCAAACAGTAAGTGCACAGTGAGCTGTTTCTTAAAGAAGGTTCCCAAAGCTGCCACATAATATTTTAATCTAATTCTACTACCAGAACTTGGTCATTTGGACATGCCCAGTTGCAAAGAAATAAAGTTATAAAACTTTTCTGAAGGTATTACTAGAAAAGGCAACAAACTGGCAAGTATGTAAGAAAAGAGACACCTCCAAAAGTTACTAGTGGGGGTGTAAACTGGTACAATCTCCGTGCAGAGCAATTTGGCAATATCCTTCAAAATGACTAATGCATACATCTTATGACTCAGAAATTCCACTTTGAAGTTTATGCCACAGATTGGCTGGCCTCTGAATATGTACAGAATTCTTCATCACGGTAGAAGATTTGAAACATCCAAAATGTCCATTATTAGGGGAATAGCTAAATAAATGATGTACATTTTATGATGGATAGATACACTTGTGAAAATGACGAGGACACTACCAATATGGGATGATTTTCAAGTTATACTGTTAAGTGAAAAAACAGAAACAAAGTACACGAGAGTATTTATAGTAGTATGCTATCCAGTGTGACAGTTTTATTGATTAGGGATTTTAATAACTCTTGATATCCGAGGTGTATGAAATGTTCTGTTTCTTTACAATCAAAGAAGATCCAAAGGAAATATGATGGAAAGTCAAGATTTGACAAAGCTGTATGGTGGGTAACACAGTGATTCATTATATTACTCTCCACATTTTTCTACAATCCAAAAGTATTTCATAATTTCTAAAAAGTAGCATAAATAGAAAATTCCAAAGAGAGTAAAAACATACTTCACTAAACTGGTTAACATATATAAGCATGATATAAATATAAACAGTAGTTGATACAAATTATTTTTAAAAACACGACCGTCGTCCAATTCAGCTTATAAAAGACGCTAAGATTAAAATTTTTAGTCATTTCAACTCTGCGAAGGAAAGAGACATCAAGGCAAACAATACCCAAAATAATCTCAGAAGTTTGAAAACAAATCCAATTTACCCGTATTAGCTTTTCTGTAGATGAACTCAACTCTTTTAGTGGCAGAATTTCACTGTAATCTGTTTGAGTAGCATGGTCTGTGCAGAAAAAGCCAATCTTCAAATCATCTGAAATACTAAGTCTGGAGAAAAAAAAATGGAGAGTAAAAGTGCCAAGAAGTGCCACAGCCATCTGGTGACCACAAGTGGGGCCAGCCAAAGGGCAACGCCAGTACATAGATGATGAGTTTTTTAAAAAAATCAGAAATAATTTTGACTACCAACTTTGTTTAGCCATTGACTCAGCTAGCTCTAAAACCTGTCATACCTCTGGCCTTCCTGCAGTGTCATATAATAAATGCAACAATTGGTGAGAGCGTCTGTCAGTCAGAGCTGAAAGCATGCTGATATCCTAGCTATGTGACATTATGTAAATTACTTAATCTTTCTGTGCCTTAGTTTCCTCTTATGAAAAATAATAGTGCCTATTTCATAGAGTTATTGTCAGGATTATTGTGTTAATATCTAGAAGTACTTTGAATGATGCATGTCACTTAGTAAGCCCTCAAGAAATGTTACCTGGTTTTGGTGCTGTGGTGGTACTTGTTACTATCAACTACTGTGTTCTGAAGTATATTTTTTCATCTGGTTTGGAAAAAACTTTTGAAGTATAGTAATATTCAACCAAGAAAGACTAAGTTTAAATTTATAAAATTTTTAACACTTAATATGATGATTTTTCAATTAACCCCACTCAATTTTCAACTAAGCTTCTACATACTCTTTAATATCATAGTGATGACAGATCTCATCAGTAGCATTATCCAGATGGGGAGGAAACAGCAGTAATATTGTATATCTCAGTTTCAACTAACATTTCTGGTGTTTTTCCACAGAAAATTATATTTTAGATTTGCTCTAATTTCATTTTAGGAGCCTATATATATTTTTTCTCACTACCAGAGTACTGTTAGAAGAGGCAATCTCCTTGGATCCTGAGTGTCCCTGCACATTCTTTGTGCATATGCCAAGAATGCAAAATCCTGACCACTCTTTCCACAGGCCATTCCTCAGAATTGTGTTTGCAGTGAGCAGCCTTAAAGGATGAGGTAATGCCTTTCTTCTGCCAAGAAGCAGGCTGATAATCTTTACTAGGAAAGTGGTGAGCTCAGGGATCACTTCCTTTAATGCAACACACTGTGTATATAGGTATCTAGGATGGGTCTTTACTGTCACCCTCATGGCCCTGAGGGGGCATGGCAAATCAACACAAATAAATATGAGGGTCTGGATACTGTTTTTGCAATGGTGATAAAGTCCTTTGTCTCTGACCCAGGAGTCTTGTGTCTTCTGCAAATGGCCATGAAACAAGCAAACTTGTTAGCTTGTAAGTAGGGTAAGATCTCAAACACTGCAGAGTCCTGACCCATAAAATCCTCTCAAAAAATGCTTGTTGTATTGAAAATTTTTTAATTTTAATTTTATTTTTTTTAAGTTTTTTATTTATTTAAGTAATCCCTACACCAAACATGGGGCTCAAACTCATGATCCCGAGATCAAGAGTTGCAAGCTCTTCTGACTGAGCCAGCCAGGCATCCTGAATCGAAATTTTTAAGACTAAGATATAGTAATTAACTAAAATCTAATAAATAAACTAAAAAGATCATCAATATTTAAAAATTTGTCTACCTAAAATTTGTAACCGTTTTTGAAAATCATATGTGAAAACCACCACTAAATTATAATTATGTTAAAATTAAGTATGATATTGGACTACACTATAGAAATGGATGAATCATATGATCAATTATGATAAAAATTTTAAAACAATGTTTTAAAGCAGTTTATAAGAAATAAGAGAAAACCAATTTTTAAGTGGTGATGACATAATTTCAGGGAAAATGTTTTTGATACTTTTCAAGGATGACAACTGTTATCGATGACAAATTGTACATGTGGCAGGTTTTTTTCTAGAACATGTGTTTTATAAATTTTACAGAAATTCTCTTTCTTATACATTTGGAAATCTTTTAAAACATGAAATAAAAATAAAATCCTTATACCTTCAAACAAGTGTCCCACAAAATATAGACAATAAAAGTTTCCTAAAATTACTATAAGCCTCCAAATTTTTGTCTTTTTAATCTATCATTCCCATGATTCCTAGAGGTATCTTACTAAAACTCAGGTTGTTTTACTCTCCTGCTATAAAGACTTTGATAGCCTTCCTTTGTCCAACAGAATTAAATTCAGTCTTCTTATTCTGACCTCCAAAATATAGGTGCAAACTCCTTGTCTGAGCTTCATGCATTTAACAAAGAATGACTGGGTAGCTAATGTTTGCCAGGCACTGTTTCTGGCACCAAAGATAACAGGAGTGGACAAGTCAAAGTCTTTGTTCTCATGGAACTTACATTCTAAAGGGAGAGACAACTAGTAAACAAGTAAACAAAAATATGTTATATAAAAATTATATTATAAATAAACTATTGATTTATTTTATAATTTTATTTATTTTTTTTATTTATTTTTTTTTTTTTTAATTTTTTTTTTAAGATTTTATTTATTTGCGAGAGAGAGAATGAGAGACAGAGAGCATGAGAGGGAGGAGGGTCAGAGGGAGAAGCAGACTCCCTGCCGAGCAGGGAGCCCGATGCGGGACTCGATCCTGGGACTCCAGGATCGTGACCTGAGCCGAAGGCAGTCGCCCAACCAACTGAGCCACCCAGGCGCCCCTATAATTTTATATTTTAATTATTAATATTTATTTATAAATATAATTATATTATTATTTATAAATTATTTATAAATATTTATTCACATAAATTTTACATAAATTTATATACATTTATAAATATTCATTTATACATATCTATTAATAATTTATTATAAATTATTTTGTAAATTATAAATTATAAATAAAAATATATTATGTAAAAATATGAGGCAGTGGTAAACTCATCTCTCATTACATATACCTGATGTACCATACTTACCTATTAAATGTTCTCAAAATATATCTACCTGGGCAGTACCTTCAGTCTAAGATACAGTCGTCCCACAGTTCTGCTTACTAAAACCATATGTAGTCACTTTCTTTTTTTTTATTTTATTTATTTATTTATTTATTTATTTATTTATTTATTTATTTATTTTTAAGATTCTATTTATTTATTTGACAGAGAGAGACGCAGTGAGAGAGGGAACACAAGCAGGGGGAGTGGGAGAGGGAGAAGCAGGCTCACCACCAAGCAGGGAGCCCGATGTGGGGCTCGATCCCAGGACCCTGGGATCATGACCTGAGCCAAAGGCAGATGCTTAACGACTGAGCCACCCAGGCGCCCCTGTAGTCACTTTCTTTTCCATCTACCTATTCCTTCCATTCCCTTCCCTTGCCAGAGTGGAGGAATCAACATGGTGGCCAATGACATGAGTGAATTTCTTCACGATGAGAAAGGTTGGAAGCCATGCAGAGGCAAAGGCCAACAGGCCTAGTAGCCAAGAATGTAGCAGGGGAGTGTGACAAATAGGAGCAGGAGCACAGAGCCAGCATGATTGGGAGACGGGGTACATAAAGGTAACAAATGTAAAAAAAAAAAAATGAGGAAAAGAGAGCATCAGCATTTGGCAATCACCATAGAGGTGACTCATTAAGGTGGGAGTTGTCAATGACAGGTAAGGCTGGTCAGTGGAATTTGGATTAAGAAAAGGAAATTTTTTCCAAAAAATTAAAAATAGAATACTTTATGTACTAGCAATCCCATTTCTGAGTATATATCCAAAGGAAATTAAGTCATTACCTCAATATTTACACCCCCAGGGTCATTGAAACATTATTCAAAATAGCCAAGGCATGGAAATAACCTAAGTGCCCATTAATGGATAAATGGATATGGAAAATGTAACGTTTATATACAATGGAATATTCTTCCACCATAAAAAAAGGAAGGAAATCCTGCCATTTGTGACAACATAGATGAACACCGAGGGCATTATACTAAGTAAAATACGTAAGACAGAGGAAGACAAATATCGTATGATCTCACTTATATATGGAATCTAAAAAACCCAAACTCGTAGAAAGAGAGATTGGTGGTTGCAGAGGCTGAGGGGTGGGGAAATGGGGAGATGTTGGTCAAAGGGGACTGGAAGCAGCATATACCACATTTGTGTATGCTACTTCAACCCATTTTCCAAGTCCTGGGTAAGGCTGCCAGTTTTTGTGGGAGCCTGGAATAAAAGAAATCTAGACTGTAGTGCAAGCTGCCCTTCCACTTGGACATTATGATCCAGCAGGTAATGGCACTATTTGTCTATGACAAATAGTGGGATTATCTGTGATCTGGCAAGCACCACGAAGAAAATCACAGTAGAGACATCTAGGTTTTAGAGCAAATCATATGCCTTCTTGTATAGATGACTATTATCCTTTTGAGAAACAGCCCTGGCTTGCTATTAAGACTGAATGCATAAACATGAGTCATCAGGCCTGAGTTTCCCACGATAAACTGGGTTTTCTCTGACCCACCAAACTATAAAATTGGGCATGAGCAGCTTCAATCTCTTAAGACGGAAGTGACATAAGAGACCAGGCTCAAGCAGAAGGAAAAGACATTTCCAGGAGCCCATAGCCCCAGCTCCATTCCTCTTCCCCCCCCCAATCCATAGTTGCAGCCTTGTGGGAAGTTCTGTATGATCAGCTGACTGAGGAAGAAAAGACTCAAGCCTGGTTAATGGAGGGTGCTGCCATCAGAAGGGGGATACCTATAGTCCCACAGCTTCACTCCGAGGTGACCTTGAAGGACAGCCATGAAGGAAAATCCTTCCACTGAATAGAATTGAAGTAGTACATTTTCTTGTTTACTTTTTCTGGATGAGAGCTAGCCAGAATTGCATATCTGTATTAATTTATGTACTGTTGCTAAAGTTTTAAGGAAGGAAGAAGACTGAGAGATTGGTGACAAGAAAGTCTGGGGAAGAGTTCTGTGGATGACCCTTTAAGAAGGGGCTCAGGCTAGGGGCGCCTGGGTGGCTCAGCCAGTTAAAGCGTCCAACTCTTGATTTTGGCTCAGGTCAAGATCTCAGGGTCCTGAGATTGAGCCCCACGTCAGGCTCCGGTCCTCAGTGCCGAGTCTTCTTGAGG